TCTAATTAAAACTTGGTCTTTCTTTTCTTTCAAATGTCTTCCAACACTGTTGCTAGCTCAAACCCTATAGGCTCCTTTTCCCTCATGAACTTGTGTGGTAAAATCACTTTTGATGGTTCTAATTTCAATGAATGGATTAGGAGTATCAAAATGATTACCCGCTATGAGGACAAGGAATATTTCCTTGACAAGGAGCTTAAGGTTATCAATGAGTTCATTACTACTCCTGAGGAGATTGCGGAGTTTGCTTCACATGAGAGGGATACTACTAAAGTTTCCTGCATTATGTTGGCTACTATGACTCCCGAACTCCAGAAATCCTATGAAGATTTCTACCCCTATGAGATGCACCAGGATCTAATGGAAAGGTACCATCAGAGCACGCATCAAGAGAGGTATGAAATCATCTCCTCCAAGATAACAGCCAGGATGAAGGATGGTGAACCCATCACCGGCCACTTGCAGAAAATGCAAAGGTTCGTGGACTGGCTGCTAAAGCTTATTGTGGACTTCCCTGGGGACATGGCGATTAATATCATTCTCTATTCCTTACCTCCAAGTTATGATCAATTTGGTATGACTTATCATATGAAAAAAAAATAGGAAGTCACACTTAGCAAACTTTAAGGACTTTTAAGGACCACTGAAAGTGGCCTTAAAGGTAAATCGGTTGTTACTTCTACTCCTACTCCTACAACAGCCCTTGTTCTGGTAATTGGGCAAGGAAAGGGGAAGAAGAGGAAGACCCCTTCGAAAGGTACCAAGGGAAAGTATATTGATGGCTCCTCTTCAGATGGGACCAAGAAAATTCCTATTCCTCCTTCTTCAAACCCAAATGAATCACAATGCTTCTACTGCCACGAAAAGGGGCACCAGAAGTGAAGCTGCCCTAAGTACTTGCAGGATGTAAAGGATGGGAAAGTTAAACCCACCCATGCATGTATTTATACCATATTGTCTAATAACTCATTGCATACTAACTCTTGGGTGCTTGATACAGGTTGTGGTATTCACATTTGTACTGATTTGCAGGGCCTAAGAAGTAGTGAAGAAGTGGAGCACGAGAAGATAAACTTAATCATGGGCAATAGGAAAGCATCACTTGTGACCAAGATTGGAGTTTATTCTCTATTGCTTAATAATAGGTTAACTTTAGATTTGAATAAATGTTGTTACTCGTCAGAAATGGCGAGAAAAATTATTTCCCTTCATATTTGGTACAAGTAAGGATTCACATTTTCATTTGATAATAAAATTGGTTCTATTGATGTTTTTTATAATGATGTGTTTTATTTTAAAGAATTAACTTGTGATGGTGTATATGAAACTGTGTCGATTGTAAACAATTTAGGAAATATGTATTTCATATTTGATTCTTCGATTACCATGGATAAAGCATCCTTGTGGTATTGTCCTCTTGGACATGTCAACAAGAAGCGCATAGGCCAACTCCAAAAGGCTGGAGTTTTGGAATCATTTGACCTAAAATCAAATGATAGTCGTGAGTCTTGTTTACTTGGAAAAATGACAAAGTCATCCTTCACTGGTAATTGTGAGAGGGGTGAAGGTTTGTTGGACCTCATACACATAGAGGTGTGTGGACCCTTCAAGACTGCCACAAAGGATGCTAATCGCTACTATGTGAGTTTTATTGATGATTACAGTAGATATGGATACATCTACTTCATCAAGCATAAGTCAGAAACCTTTGAAAAGTTCAAAGAGTTTAAGCAGGAAGTGGAGAATCAACTGGGCAGGAACATCCAGATGCTCCCATCCGATCAGAGAAGAGAGTATGTTAGTATTGAGTTCCTTGAATATCTTAAGGAATGTGGGATTATCTCACAATTGACACTTCCTAGGACACCACGGTTGAATAATGTGGTTAAGAGGCTCAATCGAACCTTGTTGAACATGGTTCGTTCCATGATGAGTTGAGCTTCGCTACCAATCTCATTCTAGGGGTATGCCTTAGAGAATGCCACCCATATCCTTAATCTAGTCCCTACCAAAAAGGTTGCTAAAACATCTCATGAGATGTGGATTGGGAAAGTTCCCAATCTAGACCACATCAAGATTTGGGGTTGTGAGGCTTTCGTGACGTGCGAGTCTCACGACAAGCTCGAACCTCAAAGCGAATGGTGTATTTTCATTGGCTACCCAAAGAAATCCTTTGGTTACCTCTTCTATAGACCCAGTGAGAATGTGGTCTTTGTGGCAAGGAGAGGTGTCTTTCATGAGAGAGAATTTATAAGCCAAGGAGATAGTGGGAGGCAAATTGACCTTGAAGAGCTTCAAGAGTCAACCGGTGAAGGAACCTCAAACATTAGCGATCAAACTGAGGAGGAAACTCCTGTTGAGCCGATAGATAAGTCCGTACCTCCGAGGTGTTCCGCTAGAGTTAGAAACACACCTGCTTTTTATTATGGTTATCACATCACTACTGAAGGTGATACATTTATCAGTGACAGTACACTTATAGATTTGGATGAACCTAATAATTATACGGAATCCATGGCAGGCCCCAAGTCTGCTAAATGGAAGGAGGCTATGGACAACGAGATTCAATCCATATATGACAACCAAGTTTGGAACTTGGTTGACAATATACCAGGTCGTAAGACAGTTGGGTGAAAATAGATCTTCAAGAAAAAGACCGACATGGATGTGAAGGTGCACACTTACAAAGCGCGACTGGTGGCGAAGGGCTTTACTCAAACTCCGGGAGTTGAGTATGATGAAACCTTCTCACCAGTAGCGAAGATTAAGTCTATTAGGGTTTTTCTAGCCATAGCTGCATTTCGTGATTATGAAATATGGTAAATGGATGTTAAAACCGATTTCCTAAATGCAAAGTTGGCTGAGGATGTTTATATGAATCGGCCAGAGGGCTTTATCGATGCAAAGTACCCTAATAGAGTGTGTAATCTTGAGAAATCCATTTATGGATTGAAACACGCATCTTGCAGATGGAATCTTTGCTTCGATGAGAAAGTCAAAGAGTTTGGTTTTTCGAGGTGTGAGGATGAGTCCTATGTATATGTTAGGGCTAGTGGGAGTATAGTTAGTTTTTTGGTACTGTATGTGGATGACATACTACTCATAGGAAATGACATCCCAACTTTGCAGGAGGTTAATTCCTAGCTTTGGAAGTGTTTCGCTACGAAGGACCATGGAGAAGCTGCCTATATCCTAGGGATAAGAATACTGAGAGACATAAGTAAAAGACTAATTGGACTTAGTCAAGGTACCTACTTGGATAAGGTGTTGAAGAGGTTCAACATGGAGAATTCCAAGAAAGGAGACTTACCGATCTAGCACAATGCCAGACTGAGTACGACTCATAGTCCGAGTATAGAGGTTGAGATAGCTGAGATGAGTCGATTACCATATGCTTTCGTTGTTGGCTCGATCATGTATGTTATGACTTCTACTCGTCCTGATGTGGCTTGTGCTTCGAGCATGGTCAACAGATATTAGGGAAACCATGGCAAGGCTCATTGGAATGCGGTAAAGAATATTCTCAAGTACCTACGGAGGACTAAGGACTAGGTTCTTACCCTCGGTGGGTGTGATGACTTGAGAGTAGTAGGGTATAGCTATGCTAGTTTTCAGACTGATAGGGATAATTTCCGCCCTCAATCAGTCTGGGTCTTTACCCTGAATGAAGGAGTAATTACTTGGAAAAGTTCCAAGCAGTAGACAGTAGTTGATTCTACTTGTGAATTAGAGTACATAGCAGCAAGTGAAGCCGCAAAGGAGGCAATATGGCTAAAGAACTTCATTGGAGACCTTGGAGTTGTACCAGCTATACAGGAACCTATGGAGATTGTTTGTGACAGCAATAGTGCGGTTACCTTAGCCAATGAACCAAGAGATCATCATAGATCCAGAAACACTGACAGAAAATATCACTTCATAAGACACAAGATAGAAGAAGGACTCCTCATGGAAAAGAGGGTATCGTCAGAAGAGAACCCTGCAGATCCCCTCACCAAGGGACTGATTAAGGTTAGA